AATTTAGAAGTTTTTTTTATGTTAATCTACTATGATCAAACTTCTAATTGCCACAGATGTAGATGGACAGATTTATCTGGATATAGTAAATGAGAAAACACGCAAAAGGTTCAGTAGGCAGGTAGGTAGGTATGGAATAAGGGTACTTCACAGCTGTGTTTTCCATGAGGTTCTGATGATCCAAGTTTGATACTCAGACAACTGAGAACATGATGTTCTTTCCACTTTAGCACATATATGCTGTATTGGCATGGCTTTGAGCTTAGACTGATCACTGACAGACAATTTAAAGACTCTTTTTCTAGAAGTACCTATTGCATTCTACTCACACTCCCCACCTCCCCCCCAACCCCCGCCCCCGGAAGTATCTGCTTTCACACGATTACACTAGTTATGGGAGCTGAGACCATGTGAAATATTACTTGGTTTTATTTCCCTTTAGGGTGGTCACGTAATTTGTAAAATTATATTTCACTGCAGGGGTAAGGAATTTTAATTAAAAAAAAAATAAGGTAAGTTTTGCTCATAAAAGAGATTCCACCCAAATCAACAAATATCACAAGTCACTCTAGCGGCAAAATCATTTATTGCTTCCCCCGAAAGGAGATTAAGAATCTGCTTCCTGCTCCGGGCGGGGGTGGCCCGGGAACGGGGCACAGCTCCATGGGAGCCGAGCTCTGCCATGCCGCCCCCGCCAGCTGTGCTCTCTTGCTCCTCTGTGCTCCTGGGGCGCTCCATCCATCATGGCACTCAGCCTACTTCTGCCTTAGTCCATCACTGCGCACCTTTCTAGTTTAGAAAGAGCTGAGGCAAGTATTCAGGCAGAGACAGGACTTGAGGAGCCCACCTACAGGGTGCCCTGTGCTGATACAGGGTACTGCAGCAAAGGAGAAACGGCCCCCTATACTAAGGCATCCCTGAGAGTGGAGGTGATCCAGAAGCACCTTCATTCTCGCAGAGCATGGGGGGCGCCGGTGGAGCTGAGCACCAGCATTCCTTGTGGACAACCTGAGCCAGTGGGAGCTGAGTGGGGTGATCAGCACCCACAACCATCTGCGTCGGAGCCTGGCAAGGACCTAGAGGACACAGATAGGGTGGGGGCTCTTCCTCCACCTCACCCTTGAACCCAGAGGCCATCTAGGGAAGGAGATGGATGGGAGGAACAGCCTTAATAGGGATTTCAAATTTCACTTTGCTAAATATTTATTCCAAAGTGGCTTTTTAACCCTGAAGAGATGAAGATATCCTTAATTGTAAGATTAAAGGTTCAAAGCAGTATCTTGGCTGCCCTCTTGGCTGCCCTCCACCCCTACCCGACAGGGGGGAGGCTAGGGAAAATTTACAGATAATAAAATCAAGTGGCATTAATTTCGTATATTGAATGTGGTGAAATAAATTTTGACTCTGCTGGGGCGCTTGGCTGGCTCAATCGGTGGAGCGTGTGACTCTTGATCTTGGGGTTGTGAGTTTGAGTCCCCCATTGGGTGTAGAGATTACTTAAAAATCTTTAAAAAAATTTTTTTTGACTCTTCTAATATTGTAAACTCCTTGGGAGCAAAGGCTGATTAAATCTCGGGAGAGATAGTGTGGTGCAGCAGTTTATTCCAGACTAGCTGTGTGACTTTGGGCAAGTTATTCAACCCCCCTGTGTCTCAGGTTCCCCATCTGTAGAATGGAATAATAGTACCTACATCATGCGGTTATTGTGAGGATAAATTAATAACTCATTTATTAATTTAACTCCATTGTTAATACATATGAAAAAAATATATGAAGCACTGAGAAAAATGTCTGGCACATAATAGACATTATGCAAGCATTTATTAGGTCATTCCATAAGACTAGAACAAATCCGGATGCTAATAGTTAGAAAGTTTCTAACAGAATGCCCTGGTGGCAGATGATCAATAGATGTTAGGAAATGTTTTACCCATAATACCATAGCATCATATTTTGCACATATGAGATGTTGAGACTTTGAACTAGAGAGGAAAGACCCCATGTGCAGACATTGCTCATTGCCTATCAACAGACAGTACCCCCGCCTTTCCCTGCTAATAGTACCCCAGTTTTGCTCAAATATTAGAGAAAGATCTTTAATCCTAGGGAAGGTAGGAATGCATCATGATAATCATCTGAAGCAGTCATGGTAATCCTATTCCCCTTTATGGTTCCCCTGGTGCAGTTCTGGCCGATGGAATGTAAAGGAAACTCTACCAGGGGGCTTCTAGAAAGGGTTTTCTCACCAAAGACACTCTTGAGAAAGTGTTTAGTCATAGTTCCTTCCTTCTACCAGGATTTGTTTGTGTGGAATTGTAGCATCCATTCTGTGACCATGAGGTAGCAAGCTGAAGAACAAGAGGCCAACATGATATTAATCGGATTATATTTACTGAAGTGTCCACAAATCTTCCTTCTGGTGATAGAGTAAAAGAAAGCTACAGAACATTTCTTATGAACATGGAGGCAAAAATTCTTAATATTTCAGCAAATCACATTCAACAATATGTGAAAAGGATAATAGATCATGACCAAGTGGGGTTTATTCTAGGAATGCAAGGCCGGTTTAACATTTGAAACTCAATTGAATTTCCTATTAACCATATTATGAAAGCCATATTAACTGGCTAAAAAAGAAAAAACATTCCATCATCTCATAGATGCAAGAAAAGCATCTGAAAAAACAAAAGAACAAAAACAAAAACAAACCAAAATTAATTCCTGATTGAAAAAAACTCTGCAATCCAGGAGTAGAAGGGAACGTGCTGAAGCACAAAGTGCAACCATGGAGACCTCTCTTCTATCTGTACAAACTCTCTAGGAGATCCCATCTGGCCTCACGGTTTTTAAATAGTACTTATATTCTGATGTTTCCTACATTTACCTTACCCCAGACCCCTGCCCCTCCAACATCAGACTTCGACGTCTCTCCAATGTCTAACAGGCATCTCAAACTCAATATGCCCCAAATAACACTGATTTCCCAATACCACTCTTCTGAGTTCCCGAGTGGTGTACGGCCTAAAATTAAGGCCTGATATCTTGTGCTGCTTTGACATCTGGTGAAACTGGGAGGGCCCCAAAGTGGCCTAACTTTGACTTCCCCTCCCCACTCTGCTCCCACGGATAGGGTCCCCTAACCTTATTAAGAGGACCAGAGGAGTTCCTGTCTGCCCATGGGATTATTCAAATAAGCCAATCATACCCTCGTGCAGGAACCAGGGGCCACTCCACCCCTCTGATACAAAGCCTGCCTCCCTGTCCCTGGTTGTTCTCTGTTCCCGAGTGTGACCCTATTGGCCCTGCATAGAGTGCTGCATCCTCTCCCAGGTGGTAAGTATATGTGATTAATTAGCTGCTGTCAATCTCATCTATTCAATCTTGGGTACCCTGTGTTTGGCTATTCCCATAGTCCTATAACAAACCCAGTTAACTTCCCTCACAAACAGGGTGAACAGGGGGAAATTAAAGCAAGCCCCCCCCTTAATAAATGGTACAGGGGAAAAAAATCGGGGCATTTTGATTTCTCACACCTACAACCAACCCATCACCAAATCCTTATTATTTCATACATAAACTGTATCTGGGATCTAATCCCTTCCTGCCACTTCCACTATAATCTCTGTAGTTCCAAACCACCACTTCTTGACCAAACAAGAGTAGTCTCGGTTGTGGCCTCTACCTCTGCCCATTTCCCCTGGCAATCTATTCACCACAGAGCAATGTAGTCCTTTTATGACATAGGTCTGATCGCACCATTTTTTTTTTAAAGATTTTATTTATTTATTTGTCAGAGAGAGAGAGAGAGAGAGAGCACAGCAGAGGGAGTGGGAGAAGCAGGCTCTCCGCTGAGCAGGGAGCCCAATGTGGGGCTCGATCCCAGGACCCTGGGATCATGACCTGAGCTGAAGGCAGATGCTTAACCGACTGAGCCACCCAGGTGGCCCAGATCACACCATTCTTTTGCTCAAAATTTTCTAATGGCTTCCTTGGGACAAAAGCCAAAGTTCTTACCATGGCCCCGAATGCAAATCCTTCCATTTCCTGTGTTACTACTCTCCCCTACAATCCTAACACTCCAGGTGCCCTGAACAACTTGCTATTCCTTGACTCCATCAAGCAGAGTCTTGCCTCAGAGCCTTTGCCTGTTTCCTCTGCTTGGAATTAACCTTACCCTGGAGAGCAACATGGCTTGCTCCATACCATTTGATCTCTGCTCAAGGTCACCTCCCAGGGGTCTTCCTCAATCACTTTTTATAAAAAGGCCCACCTTGTCACCCTTACCTTGCTTTTTCTTCATTGCACCTCATCAGCCCAACTATTGTATATTTGTTTACTATCTGCCCCCACCCTATTAGAAAGGAAGATCCTTAAAGGCAGGGACCTTGTTTACTGCTGTATCTCCAGTGCCTAGAATATGCCTGGAACACAGTTGTTCAGTGTTTGTTGCATGAATAAACTGAACAAGAATGCCTGATTCTCCAGTATCCTCACCAGATATTATAAACCTTTGGTAACCTATTTTAATTTGTATCATTTTTTTGGGTTGGCCTTTGTATTTCTTTTTTCCAGAAAGTTATCTTTTCATATTCCTTGCTCAGCCTGTCTTTTTCCTATTGCTTTGCAAGAGCTATTGATACATTAAAGAAATTATTCCTTTGTCTGTCATATGCTACAAATATATTTTCCTACTTGCTATTTGCCTCTGACTTTGCAGTCACATTACCAATTTTTCCCTTTTGGTTTCTGGTTTTGGGGAATGTTTGGAAAGTCCTTCCCTCTTCCAAGATCATCAAAGCAGCCATACTTGTTTTCTTCTAGTACTGTAATATATGTATATGTAAAAGATTATGCTGTTTAGATCTTTGTTCCATCTGGGATTTCCTTTGGGGCATAAAGAATAAGGAAGTGATCTAGTTTAAAAGCAAATTTAGCCTAAAAAAAAAAAAAAGCAAATTTAGCTTTAAAATACAATGAATACAAATTTCTGGATACCATTTATAAAACTTATTATTTAATCTTCCTCAAAGAATATTCATAATTTAAAAAATAAATTCAAACACAATTCACTTATTTTCCAGTACACATTTTTATAAGCACATTTGATACATATATATGTATCTATGTATGTGTGGATATATAATAAAATTCTATTTCCCATAATTCTCTGGAATATAATTTGACATTTTTATCACAATTAAAATATTTTCCCAAGAAAGTTTCTATTTCATTTTTCTCAGTATTTCCTCCCCTTCCTGGATCTTGATTTCTTTTTCGTTTTACTATATTTTGTTTTAAAAAGTCTCTTTTCAATTAAGCTCACTTCTTCATGGAGGGAAGAGGTCTTTATTCTCAGCAGGAAGGAGAAGAGATTTATTATGAACTGATAACTCAGAGAAAAATTTGATTCTTCATAGGTTGTCACATGTTTACAATAGCTAGAAAGGGAAGAAAAAGGAAGAAGTTATCTTAAAATGACAATTTAAAATGTATGCATCTATCCCTGAAACATCCCCCAAACTAGCAAATATATATGGTTAGGCTTAAAACAGTATTCAGAGTTGGAAGGAAATTTGGAACAATTTGGCAAAACAACTTATTTTTACAGAGGAAAAAATGTTAGCACCATCCATAGGTTAGCTACCACACCAGGGTAACAGATGGTACTGGAGCCGGGACTCACAATTCCTTGCCCAGAAGTCCTTCCATTCCAGATGGGCTGCTTCTTTTTACCATGCTCAAAGCAAACAATAGCATACAGGAAGAGATTCTGGGCACAGTTTTATTTTTTTATTTTTATTTATTTATTTATTTTTAAAGATTTTATTTATTTATTTGACAGAGAGACACAGTGAGAGAGGGAACACAAGCAGGGGGAGTGGGAGAGGGAGAAGCAGGCTTCCTGCTGAGCAGGGAGCCTGATGTGGGGCTCGATCCCAGGACCCTGGGACCATGACCTGAGCCAAAGGGAGACGTTCAACACCTGAGCCACCCAGGCGCCCCTGGGCATAGTTTTAAAATAAAAGAAAATAAATAATCCCTAATCCCCACCCAAAATAAGACACCGGACTTGATAATGTAGGCTACAATCTTGTACCTATTACAGAAAGAAGAATTTACAAAGCAATTTTACTTATCTTAAAAGTAGTAGATCAAGTCTCCAACTACCACCAAATCTCTAATTACAAATCTCTTAACTCTATCCATCTCTAACTACACCAAGGTGTAGGCAATCCAGGGGACAGAGGAACATGTTAAATGGTATCATAGGTTGTAATCAGCAAAATGCAGACTATGGGAAATTGTATAGGACACAAGACCTGGATTATTCAACAAGTAATTTTTTCCCTGCAAGGGGACAAAAAAAAGACATAAAAGGGGAATTTACCAATCAAAACACTTAAGGGATATCTTAGTTACTTGCAATGTATGGGCCTTATTTGAATTATATTAAAAATTTCATAGCAATTGGGAAGATCTAAACATTGACTGCATATTTGATAATATTAAGGAATTACTATTTGTTTCTTAATGTCTGATTGATGTTTATTATGATTTTGTTTTTAAAAACATTATGACATTTGATATATGCTTCCAAATAACCTGGGGGCGGAGGTGGAGGAGTGGGCTGGCATGTGGAAGCAAGTCTAGTCATGTTGACAATTGTTACGGCTGAATGACAGGTACGGGGGTGTCCATTATACCATTCTCTCTATTTTTGAATATACTTGAAATGTTCCAGAGTAAAAAGCTTAAAAAAAACAGGAAAACAACATATAGAAGATACAAACTTTTAGATATTGGATTTATATATGGTCCTAAGTTCCTGGAAGAAAGTTTGTGTGTGCACCACAAAACTCTGCCCCCATCAGTTGTGACTATGGATAACTAGCCTTGGTTCTCTCACCTGTAAAACAGGAAAAAATAGCAGTGCCTACCTCATAGAGTGAACAGAAGTATCAAATGAAAATATATATTAAACACTTACCCAATGGTCGGCACAGAGTGAGGGCTCAAAAATGTTCACCTCCACTTTACTCCTTTAAAACTGATTTTTGTTTTCACTTAAAATCTTAAGACTACTTTAATCATCTACAATAAAGCCAAAACCCCACCATATTCACTAATAAGGACATTTAAAAGTCTCAACTACTCATTGATTGGTTTAACAGAAATCAAATATAAGCCATTTACAGGAATTCTCACAAACTGGTGGTCTCTTGCTTTTCTTTTCTTTTCAATTTCAGCTATTGTAAGACAGATTCTTCCAGACAAATGGTTCAACAAAAAGGGCAAGAAGTACTGTTTCTCTTACCTAGGGAAGCTCTTTTTCTACACCAGAAAGATAAGAAAAGGTATACAAATTATTTGGTCCCATAAGGACTTCTATTTTTAAGTTGAATCGTTAACAATACCTTACAAGGATTACATTCTTTATCACAAACTCAGAAAACTCTCCTAGAGTTATAAGCCATAAAGCCGAATATAAGATACAATAATTTGTTATTGCCAAGTATTTTGCTGTGAGTAGAACACGTGCCAACAGATGTTCCTTGAGCTGACACGGAAAATAAATGAATCTGGCAAATGGAAGAATATGTTTATACGAACAACTTTATGTGAAGGGACCAGGACAGGTTTACATTTGGAAGAGGGGTGTAAGGTACATTTGAACTTCCTTATGAGAACTTCCTGTGACAAGTTCGAACGTATGCAAAAACAATAGTCTCTCAAGTCTGTATACATACGAAATTAAACAAACCTGCTAACACAAGTTAAAGTTTTAGTGGTCACATACATAGTTGAGTACTGTTTTTTTTTTACTCTAGTTTAAAATATTAGTTAAAATAAAATTTTTAAAATTCAAATCAAATTTTTATGGGACCCCTCAAAAAAATTGTGTGTGTATGGGGGGGCAGGGGGACATCTAAAGCCTCCCATTTCCTGTGGATGGCAATTTGAAGTACCTCAGCTGTTCCTCTTCCTGTGGAAGGAGAGAGGAATCACCTGCCCCTCTCAGGGAGGCCAAGGACAGACCCTTGACTAGCCAGTGCCTACAACGGGTCTTTAGACCTAGCTAGTTGTCAGTAACTGGCCTACTTACAGATGGGTACTTCTATAAATGTGAGGAATATTAAGGGCATTTAAATTCATGAAGATTGTTCGTTCTGCCTCAGATAAGAAGCATAAACAACCTCTCATATCTGAAGTGCTCTTATGGCCTTTCTCTGCTTAGTTCTCAAGGCCTGAGTGTTCTCACAAGTATTTTACTATACAACATTTGTCTCTTGAACCCTCAGACATGAGTCCTTCTGTGTAACAAAATTCTCTATACAGCTGAAGATCTGCTCTCCTAAGCATCAAAACACTTCATTTTAACCATTTTGTATGGACATCTTTTAAAACTGAGTTATACATTATTAGTATAAATTATAAATTTATAGTATAGTATAATTAGTATAAAATGAAATTATTATAAAAATATAAAGTACATTATTAAAAGTTGTTCATTTTTACTGTAAAAATATTAGAAAATACAGCTAAGAAAAACAAAGCCAAAGAGAATGCACACAGCATTTTGGGTCATGCTGTGTGTTAAAGCTGAGACCCCATCAGGCTTGTTTTGTTAGGTGGAGCAATTAAACAGTGTGTCAGGAATGAACTTCAGACTGCTGTAGTTTGAGTTCTTTTGTCTGCTTCTGATTCTGATGCTGGCTTCTCTCTCGTTTGTCAAATAGATGTCATTTATGTTTGCTGTCAAGATGACTATCAGCAGAGCACCTCTCAGTCTCCCTCCTGCTTTGTTTCTTTTGATGATGAGAAGTTTGGAAATCAGACAACTCAGCCTGACAGAAACACACCTGAAGGCAGAGTGCGCTGGCTCTGAGTGAGGGACTAAGGGGCTTTCTGAGAAAAGTGCATTAGCTCTAGTCATGGACTTTGTGACATTTTTATTGGTTTGTGGAAGCCTTTTTTGCTTACTCTGTGGTTCTAGGCTATGGTCTAAATAGGCAAGGCTGACAGAATTTTGGTGCATAAAGTCATGGTATCACTGATGCTTTGTCTATAGGTTATAATTTTTAGCCTTATAGTTCATGCAGAGAAAAAAAAATCTCAGCTGTTTCATCTCTGACTATACAAGGTCTATCTGTAACTAACTGTCTTATATTACTGTATTAAATCTGTGAAGATTTAGAAAGATCTAGAAATCCACTGATTGCGCCATGGGAAAAGCATAAAAGTGTAAGCTGCCCCCTAACTAACTTGGGACCGATTCCGCAGGCATGAGAGACAGAAGGGCATAGAACACCACTTCCTAACTTAACTGGTCTCATGCGGGTGCTCCTCACCGGCCGGGACTACAGCCTTTTCTCTTCCTTTTGATGAAATCTTCACACCAGAAAAAGCCATTGCACTGACCACTGCACAGGAATGGAGCACCTCAGACGTGGTGCTGAGCCTGGGGTTTGGGTTCCAGGCTTTCCCTGTTGCTGCTGCCAAGTCAGTGCCGCTCTACAGTCATTCTAGACTCAGCTAAACTTTTGCTGAGTAGTAAATTTTCATACAGATAACTTCATTTTGTTATCTCCTATTGTATTTCCTACATTTTACTTATCTTTCATTGATACTCAACTTAGGAAGAGAAACTCTTTAATAGAAAATTAGTTTTATTTAATGTAACAATCAGAGTTATCATGTATTGACATTTACTATATGACAGATACCAAAATCTCATTTACTTCTCATTCTCTAATTTTTTTTTTAAGATTTTATTTATTTAGTTGACAGAGAGAGACACAGTGAGAGAGGGAACACAAGCAGGGGAAGTGGGAGAGGGAGAAGCAGGCTTCCCGCGGAGAAGGGAGCCCGATGCGGGGCTCAATCCCAGGACCCTGGGATCATGACCTGAGCCGAAGGCAGACGCTTAACGACTGAAGACACCAAGGCACCTTCTCATTCTCTATTTTTCATGCATTCATTCAACACATAACTGGTGAGCACCTACTATGTGCTAGGCCCTGTTCTAGCCTCTGGGATTTTTCATTAATTAAGACAGAGTCTCTGCACTCAAGGACCTTATATTCTATTCTAGTCGGGGAAGGCAGACAAATAAGCAAAATAAATATATAACAATCTATTCAATACTGACAAGAGCTATGAGAAAGAAAACACAGCTAAGGGGGGTAGAGAGTGATGAGGTGTGCGCGTGAGGGTGAGGGGAGAGTTGGTGCTATTTTAGACAGGATGGCGAAGTGAAATGTGAGCAAAAACCTGACAGGAGTGAGTCTGTGTGGGTATGTGGAGGAAGAGCTTTCCAGGCTGGAGGCACAGCATGTGCAAAGGCCTGTGTGGGGAGTGTGCTTGGCAAGATCAAGGAACAGATAGGAGGCCGGTGTGAGTAGGAGCAGTGAACATGGAGCAAAGGAGGCAAGCAGGGAAGGTCAGAGAACTGCAGGGGCCTGTAGGCTCCTTAGGGTCTTTTAACTTTACTTTGCGTGAGATGGGAGCCACCGGAGGTTTTAAGAAGAGAAAGAAGATCAGTATTACACGCTGTCTGTGCCATGGGGAAAATATAAAGATACAAGCTCCCCCCCAACTCACTCGTACGCTGGTTTTATAACTCAGACAACAGAGCTGTAGAGATGGTAAATCACTTGCCCACAAGGAGCAAGCCGCAGAGCTGGAATATGAACAGCCCAATTCATTAGCACGTTCTCTTCACTACTGGGAAACTGCCTTATAAACGGTTTCTATGTACAAAGAGTGAGATTAGTATAAAATGAAGTTAGTATAAAAATATAAAGGCACAATGAAAAAAGTCTTTATAGTCCAAAACCTTTTTCAGCTTTGCTGAGCACTATTGACATAAGTTTAAAGTGTGCAATGTATATGTTGTGAAATGATTGTCACAGTAAGGTTAGTGTCCATCCCTAAAACCCTTAAACAAGACTCAATGTATAATTCCAATTTTCTTGATTATAAGCCCAACATTCTTCTAATTCCAACAAATAACCTATCTGGTTCTTATTATAGTCAACCGTAATTTTATGTGACTTTTTTAAATTCGAAAAGAATACTACTTTATGCCAAACTAGAGATTTCATGATATTTTTTATCCTTTGATTTCTAAAAGCATCACATACCTTCTACAGAATTTCTGTGTACTAAGCCAATATAGTGAATTCTTGGTTGTCATTGACTGGCCTTTCTTCTTCAGGATCCCCTGGAGGCCATGTCCATGGAAACAGGTTCTAGCAGAGTCTCCTTCAGTCCAGTTGAACTGAAAACTTGAAGGACTTTTCTTTTCAACAGTTGGTGCTGAATCAACCAGTGTGCTAAACTGTTTTTGTAGACTCACCACCATTTCTGGAAACAGAGGGAAAAAGGAAAGGAATAAAATAAAAACTAACGTTAAATCACAGATGAGTTTACTTGTTAGCAATGTACTAATGTTGGTTTCTTAGTGTTGATAAGTGCACCACAATAATGCAAGAGGGTAACAACAGGGGGAGCTGAAACTGGATGAGGGGCATTGGGGAACTACTTAAAAAAAGTAAAATGTATTTTTGCCACAATTAGGAAAAAAAATGAACAAGAAAACTTACAGGCAATTCTCCACAGAAAGAGTTCTGAAAGTCACAGAAATATAGGATGATTTTAGATTTAAAACAGAACTTAAGTTCTGTTTTAAAGAATACAGTGTTCCTGAAACAGATTCCTCTGGAGATTTCTTACAGAGGACGATATTTCTTTGGATGGGCACTGGAACACTTGCTGAAGAAGTAAAATGATTCCTTAGACACTTTTTAAGTTTATTTATTTAAGTAATCTCTACACCTGACATGGGGCTTGAAACACAACCCCGAGATCAAGAGTTACAGACTCTATGGACTGAGCCAGTCAGGTGCCCCTAGGCACTCTTTAAGAAGTCAAGATATTTACCTTTTCTACAACAGTACTGCTACATGGCGTTAAGGGATAACGCAACTCACCTCTTCTTTTATATACCACTGCTCTGTCAATGGATGAGTGGTAGAGTGGCTTTTCGCTTTTCCACAGATACCTGTACAATGCAGAAAAACATTTGGAGCAGAATGGAGAAGAAATGGACCTAAACACATTTCAGAGAAGTTTCCCTCAAGCAACATATGAAATTCCTGATACTCAGTGTAATAGCTCTGCCTTAGAATGACCTACTGATACGGGTCTCTAGGGCTTACGACACAGACGTAAGCAAGTAGCACTGAAGGAGACAGCAAGCCAACAGAATGACACGCTCATCCCAAAAGCCTCCCGGATGTCATAAGGTCCTGAAGAAGATATTAATTACACAAAAATGTAGAAACGGTTTCCTTCACCATAAAATTCTCTTGCTGTCTGTTCTCAGAAAGTGAAACGACCACCTAAGAAACAACTGTTCCTCCTTGCCCTTGCCCAACTGCCCTTTTGCTGAGGATTAAATTAGAGGTACTCCTGGTAACTCATACAAAGTGAACAATAAGTACCGGTCTTCTGAGGTAGAGATGCAATCAATGTTAATTACAGTTTTCCTGAAAATTATGTGTGAACTAAATTTTAGTGAACATACCACATTTGAAATATATCAGAGACCTTGTCATTGAATCCTATGGTAAAGGAGTTTGTGATTCTTTCAAATATCCTTTTTGTTATTTGTTTTCTTAAATAATAAATGTAACAATATACTCAAGGTAAAAAATAATAAAGATGTTTCCTAAATAGTCTAATCCCAATCGGTGGGTAAACCCACTATTAAAAATCCCTTGCAAATACCTAATCTAGACAGAATTTCTTATGCATTTATAAGGCATATACAGGTGGTAATTATGCTACAGGCAAGGAGGCATTACTTCCTTGGGGTCATATGCCCAGAAAATGGGAAAAGTGATCTAAAATAACATTCTGTCTAGATACTCCTTCTTTAAAAATGTACCTTACTTTGCTTACCTCTTCCCCAAACTATAAAAGATACAAAAAACGGAGGCACGTCACAAAGTCCTAACGTTTTCTGCAGGAATCCTGCATGCCTCTCTCCAGTTTTTCCATATGATTTTGTTTCCCAACTATTAAAAGTTAAGGTATAATTTACATACAAACTCACCCTGTTCAGTGTACAGTTCTGCTGGCCTTGGCAAACACACATAGTCATGTAATGACCACCACAGTGAATATACAGAGCAGGCCCATCAATCCGAAAGTCTCTCATGCCTCTTCACAGTCAAGCCCTCTCCACTGGCCTTAAAACTACTGATATCTGTTTCCATCCTGATAATTTACCCTTTCCCAGAATGTCATATAAAGGGAATCATACCCTATGTAACCTTTTAAGACTTTCATTCAGCATAATGCATTTAAGTCATTCATATTGTTGGATGTATCAGATGTTTGTTCCTTTCATTGCTGAATGGTATTTCATTGTATAGATTTACCCCACTTGACTTATCCATTCACCAGCTGAAGGGTATTTGGGTTGTTGCCACTTTTTGGCCACAGTAATGAAGCCACCATGAACATTTGAACAGATTTTTATGTGAAGTTGTCATTTCACTTGGGTAAATATGTAAGAGAGCAAACTACTAGGTAGTGTAATAGCTGTATGTTCAACTTTATGAGAAACTGTCAAACTTCCAAAATGGCTGCATCATTTTTAAATCCCCACATTAGGTGTGGTCAGTTTTTTGTTCATTTCGCTTTGTTTTTGGCCATTCTAACTGGTGTGTAAGGATATCTCATTGTAGTTTTAATTTGCATTTCCCTATTAACTAATGATGTTGAGATCATTTCACACATCTTCTTTAGTGAAATGTTTGTTCAAATCTTTTGTCCCTTTAAAAAATTGGGTTTTTGTCTGTGTTCTTACTGTATGAGAATTCTTTATTCTGGATACAAATCTTTTATCAGATATGTGATGTGCACATATTTTCTCCCACTGTATGGCTTCTCATTCTCTTAACAGTGTCTTTTGAAGAGCAGATATTCTTTCTTCTGATGAAGTCCAATTTACAATTTTTTTCTTTTATAGATCATACTTTTGGTATATCTACAAAATTTTGCCTAACCCAAAAGGCTAAAAAGATTTTCTACACATGCTGTTAAATTTTCTTCCATGTTCCTCCCAGCATCTTCCATGACAACTGGAAGTCATCAAAGCCACCTCATAAGCTGTTATTAGGCTTCCAACTACTGTTTATTAATATTTTTCATAATCTCATACATAGGGACCCATACTTAGCTATGGAAAATGCTTTAATAACTTTCATCTAACAACATGGAAGATGATGTTCAGAATACGGGAGAAAAAATTACAAATTTATGTCAACAGTGGGGGTCAGGTAGGGGCTCTGTACCTAAGCACTAGTCAGCAGTGATTTATATATGGTATTTCACTCAGCTCAAAGCACCTACTCCATACAGAAGTATCTTGGTAATGTATCCCCTGGACAATCTCTTCCGTGAGTCCTGGTCTCTCCCTGGAAGATGCCATTTTGGAAATAGACATACTCTCTTTGGTCATTAAATTCTCCCCTAAAGTACCTAAAAGTCAGTAAGTCTAAGATGTGTAACTGAATGCTGAAATATCAATTTGGGCTCTAATAGCTATGTCTGCAGTGTAAGCTGGTGCCTGGCTTGAGCTAATGAATTCTTAGATACTACTGAGATGCCCGAGTGGCATGGTCCTTGAATACCTAGCCTCTCAGTATCAGTCAGGACAACCCCTGCTGGCACCATAAAAAGGAAGGCCCAGTGGCTGGTACTCCCAAGATAACCTAAGACAACAGAACGAACTCCTGTTCTTCCTGATATTCTTGTAACCACTGAGATCCAATGACAAAAGAGACATTCCTTCTCTGACAAGGAAGAGGAAGGACCCAGTTTCCTGGGTACCCACAGGCTGTCAGAGTAAGTTCACACCCAACCTCTTTTCTTTCATCATTGTGTATCAAACCTGCATAGTGAGAAATTACTACACCTCTCCCCTTTTTGGCAAGGATCGTCTTCCCCATGGGGCTTTATTCATCCCTGTAAGTCTGGTTTTCTATTTAAAAGCTCTCTTAAATGTAGAAGAAAAATAATCCAGTTCTACCTGTGAAAACTGAAATTTAGTTCTTAGAGCACAAAGCGGGCATTATTATCCCTATTTCATTGATGAGGAACTTAGAGCTGAATGAATTATTTTAACTAATTTGAGGAGCCTTGATTTTTCTCAAAATATATAAAATTAGTTGATCAATTATTATAAATTTACATAAAATAGACGTTAACTTTTTCTTCAAAGTCTTGTAAAGACTCAAAGTTCTAAGAATAGATACAAAACTGTTCAAATCAGAGATCAATAGAAATATACTCTATGTTATGCAAGATACAGTGTCTATGAAAATGTATGAGCAAACTAAATTTCAGTGCGCTGAGGCTAAGAAATCAAGTAACTTGTCCATGGTTACACAACTACTCCGTAGTGCAATCAGGATTCAAACCCAGCACTGTCTGTCTCTACAGCTCTGCTCCTTCCACTCTATTACAATGAACCGACATCAGAACCAGAGTTCAAAGTCAAATGGTGAGACTGAATCAAGTATCCTCTCTTTGTGCTTTCCTCCGTTTTGATTTTTGTAGGGATCTTTATTTGGGGGAACATTCACTTTATTGCGGGACAATTACATATGTCATAGGCTGATACTTGTAATCTTCGTAATATTGGAAAGCAGATGGGAAATGATAACTTTGAGAAAGGGGAAGGAGAAGGAATATTAGAAATGTAGGTGTGACTCACACAAATTATAAAAAATTAATAACTAAAAAGAGGACATTACCGGAAACACTGATGAAATCCAAATAAAATCTGGAGGTTATTTAACAGTAACACCAAAAAAAAAAAATGTCGAATAGAACACAGGGGCTAATATTTCTAGAAAAAATGTCATAATGCTAAGGAGTCTAACTGCTGAAACTTCAGCTTTCAAATATAAGGTAAGAGACTTAGAAATCAAGCAGGTAAACCTAAAACCAGAAGAGACAACGTACTTTGCCCTGGCTTCCTCCCACTTTTGTTTTTTCTCATCAACAGATCTCTTCATCACTTGGTACCATTTTCTGAAATCAAACCAGGGCTTATCTGAAAGAAAGGAAATCCGTGATTAGTAACCAAATAAGTCACATTATAACCATATACGTTATTCATTTGAGTCTTTATTCATTGATACAACTAAACATTATGGAGTCAACTTTATGGGAATTATGGAGTCACTGTCTCCATACTTCAACATGACTCCTGAGCAATCCGTCACTGAGTTCCTATCTATATTGTGGCCCTAACTAGATTATACTAAAACCATCTTTTTTTTTTTTTTTTTTGAGACAAGGGAGTATGAGAAGGGACATTAGAAGACACCTTGTTCAACCTTTCACTCTGTGTAGAAGCTGACATAAAGCAATGTGTAGAAAGAAGTATTTCACATATATTCTGGAAAGAACTCACAAATTGATTTCTACCATTAAATCCAAGCTCTTAAAACCAATGCACATATATGCGAAATCTTGAAAGAAAAATGAGTCAAACTTCTAGAAACAGTAGTTTCTACTCTAACAGAGTAGAAAAGTAGTTCCCAGGGGCTGGGGGGTGGGAGATAGGGAGAGGTTGGTAAAAGGGTACAAAGTTTTGGCTCTAAGATAAATAAGGCCTGAGAATCTAATGTAAAACATGGTGATTACAGTTGATCACACTGTATTATGTCAAGGAAATTTGCGAAGGGAATAGGACTACAATGTTCACACACACACACACACACACACATACACACAAGATTAAAATGTGAGGTGATATATGTATAACCAGATGAGAGGATCCTTTTGCAGTGTACATGTATATCAAATCATCAAAATACACAGTTTAAATATCTTACAATTCTATATATCAATTATGCCCCCAAAAAGCTGAATTATTTAAAAAAACAACAATGAACATAAATACTAATGAGGGAACTAAGAAACTAAAATTGAATTTAAGAAATCATATACCTACCCAACTTCACTGAATTGCTCTTAGGCCAGACACTATGTTAGGCACTAAAGATCCATGAAAAAGAAAAACATAAAGAAGAAAGACATGTTCCCTCCCTCTAGAAACTCACAACCTACCTTTCTATCATTTATGTTGTACTTTACTCTATGTCAGCTATTCTTAGCACTTTACAGACACTGGCAATCTAATCAGGATAGACATACGTAGTCCACCAGGTCTAATTCAGTGTGCTAAACCTCTAACAGATGTTTGGATAGGAGCAGCTGTTGCAGGAGTGATTAGTTTTGATTTGGGAAGTGGTAAGATTGGGAGTGGGTGTGAAGAGAAGGCAGAATCTTGAAGGATAAAGGCGGATTTATCAGGGACTGAGGGAGTCGGGGGGTAAGAAGGAAAACATTTCAGGTAGAAGCAGCAGCGTGAGCAAAGGCTGAGGCATCACAACAGATGGTATAGTCATGGAACTGCCAGTAGGCTCACGGTCTAGCATGGCTAGTGAGGAGAAGCTGGAAATAAAAAAGCAGGCTGGTCTTTAAGATCATAGGAAATCACTGAAGTTTAGCAGCCTAGATGTAGAATTAGATAATTATATGAAGAAATAATTCTGGTATAAGGCATACTTTGTATACAAGTGTTTGTATATGTGTACTTGTATATTTTTCAAAGTCTTCCTTGCATTTATTGCATCTTTTAATCCATCACTTACAATGACTTTGAATTTGAATGATAAAAAATTAAGTACCTTCTTTGTTCTTTTCATTATATTTCTCAGCAATATTAGACAAAGTCCTGGAAAAACCAAAAAGCAAGTCAATTTTTTGGAAGTCACTTATTTGAAGACAGTTAAATTTTGAATTCTTCTGAAAGAAAAGTATAGAATAGTACTTGACACTGATGCTAACTTTTAACAGAGAAGCAATCACTATACACGCTGCCATTGTTTATTGGCATTTGGGAGGAGTGGCACTTTGTTTCATTTACTTTCCAAAATAATCTTTGAAGTCACATAGTGCCAGGACCCTAAAGGCATACAGAAAGGTGCCTTTAGGCAACTGCTACGAGATTCTTTAGGATTTGTGTATGACGATTTAAAGCTGGGAATCAGTGAAGCAATGAGAACATGAGTATGTACTTAAAAAATAGGAATAAAACATGAGACAAACAACTTACTAAGGTAGAATTAACTCTGACAACTAGCTGAGTCAAAATTCATGTAAGAAGTAATTGTTGCTACTAGTCAGTGTTCTACAACTGAGAGGCTCTATTTTCTCTTGAGATAATATAAGGATTCCTTTACTCTGAATAATTAGGTAAAAACAAAACTGATTTTTTTCCTCATAAAACTGACATACACTTACCATTCTAAATTGTCATCCAATAAAAAGAGCAGTTTCAATACTACTACAATGACAGCGACAGCCTGTACATCATATTTAACTGTTTTTGCCATTTTAGCTATGGGATCAAATGTCAGAAAATCCACTTCTCCTATTCCAGTCATTTTTACCACTTGGCAGGTTAAATCATTCATTTCATCTGTTGAAGAACAAAAACAGTAAAATGTGAACTAAATTCTGTGCCTAACTAGACCATACTAATGTGTGCCTCTGTAAGATAAGCTTTATCATCTTAAAACATGGTACTATGCTAGAACGGAGGGACACACATTTTCTGAATAAAATAAACCAAAAAATGCTATCTGTAGAGAAACACTAATGGTAGAATCCTGGCAAGGTCTCTCTTTCCCTATCTGGACGTCCTAAAACATCTACCATGCACAGGGCACACTCTGGCACCTAACGCACAGCCGCACGCTAGTTTTCTATCATTTCATACCACTCTCTTGTCTGTGTTTCTACAGCAATTTGCACTGGCTTGAAACGAAATCCCCTGTCAGACCAAAGGCTTCTCTGGGAATGTACATTGACCCACTGGCTAGCGTGCTAGAAGCCTCCGTGTATATTAAACTTGATGTACTGCTTTCCTAAAGAAATTATATGGTCAGCTTGGCCTCCATCTATTAGTCAAGGCTGAATAATGTGGCACTTGGAACCAGGAAACCCCAGTTAGGGCCTATATATTCAGGTTTTCCAATCATTAGCTTTGTGACTCTGCGTTAGTCACTTAACCTCAGTTTCTTCATTTGTAAAGTGGGTTGTGGAATTAAATAAGATAAGTGAATATACTTTGAAAACTCTAAATTACTAAGCAAATTTCTTTACTCACTAATCTAAGTACCCAAGATGCACAATATTCTATTTTAATTAATCTTAAGTGAACAGCTAGTATTTATAAGAGCATAATAAATTGTACTGAATTAAGTTGCATTTCCTACATGCATTCAGTCACCATGTCCTGTGGACTCTATTCCCACTCTCCATCCAATAGCAAGCACAGGAACCAGACACTTGCCAGGAGCCAGCCTGTGTCAGTTACATTTTGGTAATCCCTTGTGTTCCTTCTATTACCTACTAGTAGATTTGTGTGTGTGTATATGTATATATGTGTGTATATATATATGTTATTACATATTTATGTTTATTTTTATCATTGAAATTATACTATACATATACATAGTTTTGTATATTGCTTTCTTCATTAACATACACATTTTCCTTCCCTATTAAAAATATATCCAATCACATTTTTTTTTAAAGATTTTATTTATTTATTTGACAGAGAGAGAGACAGCGAGAGAGGGAACACAAGCAAGGGGAGTGGGAGAGGGAGAAGCAGGCTTCCTGCCGAGCAGGGAGCCTGATGCGGGGCTCGATCCCAGGACCCTGGGATCACGACCTGAGCCAAAAGCAGACGCTTAACGACTGAACCACACAGGTGCCCCTCCAATCACATTCTTTATATTGCTAAAGCAATAGGCTAACCACACCATGTTTGTATTTTCTCTTAAGAATATGAGTCCTGAATTTCTCACATTTCTAGTTTTGCAAGAAATTCAGGAATGGGTTCCATTGGCAGATTCCATCGGGTTACCTGCGTCTTGGTATATTGTGAACAAGGTCTAGTGAGGCTCTCTTCACATTCTGTGTTTCATTGCCTTACAGAGTTCACTGTGATCCTACAAATGACCAACCGCTGCCTTTTTTTCAGAAGGGGGGCATCCAGCTCATTAATAACACATATTGAAACATTTTTTACTTTAATTGCACTCAGCAAACTTACTGTAAAAACCAAGCCTATCCCGCACATCAAAACAGAATTCTTTATTTCTGAACAATGTCCTTTTAACCTTTCTAAGTAGCCTGAAATATTTTAAGAAAGGATTCTGAAATTAAGCTTCATGTTATGATGGACCCTGTCAGGTGGCTCCAATTGTCTGGGATCTAAGAGGAATTCTATATTTTGCTCATTGTGATTTTATAATTCTATAAAAGTTCCCTCACCACATACACCACACTTACCAGGGAGATTGACTTCCATCAAGTATTTCATACACAAGATGTTTGGATGAAGATAGCAGTCTTCAGTTATGTCTGGAAAACGTGGCAAATCTAAGAATTTAGCAATTTCAATAATTTTTTTATAGATATCCTCATAGGCAGGCCAAGACTGAAATAAAAAATAAGCAAGGTAGCAATTTTTGCAACATAAATTATTTTAAAAATATTTTCTGATTTTAAAAGTACTATGTATTTACCGAATGAAATTTGGAATGTGGAAAAAAGCATTAAGGGGAAAACCACCCATAAATCCCTAATATCCTAACTTAGCAGGTTAAAACAGTGGTAATGCTAAATTGAAAAGCCACTAAAATTCCATTTGGCTCATAAAACTCTTACTGGCCTTCCCCATGATAGAGGGAAATCATTACTTTTCGCCAGCCGCAGAAGAACTAAGGGGAAGGGACAAAGCTGTGACCCAAACTGGAGTTCCAGAGCCATCACGACTGCTGCTGCACAACTTCCCTCTCATACTCCCTCACCACACCCTCTCATTCACCTTCAAGCTCATGGCTAACAAATTTAGCTCCGTGTTTCACAATATTCACAGGCTTCTAGGTGGGAGCTAACACCAGGATTTAAGTATAATAGTTGAAAATACACAATTCAACCTCATATTCTCCCATATAATCGCATGTAAAATTTTATAGAATCCAGGAAAATCTATGAGCTACTATTAATAAATGTATTCTGTTCAAGATCACCCCTGTAGTTTATCTGGTATGCTATTTTTATTTTTGCAATTTATAAACATCCTTGAAATTAATACTACATATAATTTTCCTCATTTCCTCATCCATTCACATAAAAATAATAAATTTAGAGTCTACTCTATGCAAAGTACTTTGGGAAATGTAAAGACAAATAAAACAATGCCTTCAAGGAGTTTATAACCTGGAAAGGGAGATAAGGTATGCGAAAATACAGTACAAAATAGAAAGTTATCAAGTACCTCAAGTAAGATTTTTTTTTTTTACAAAGCTTATGGAATTTCAGAAAAACTAACTTTTCTCATATGGTAGGACCCTATCAAAATTGGGCCTGAAGACAAACATTTTGGCCACCTGTTTGGCCGTACTAAAGTTGAGCGTGTGTACCTTCTGTGGCAAAGCAATTCTACCCCCTAGCTACGTATCCCCAGCAGAAATGTGCATGATGTCCACGGAAAGACAAGTACTAGAACGTTCTTAACAACACTATTTGTAAAAGTCCCAAGCTGGAAACTACCCGAACGCCATTAACGATAAGTAAATTTTGATACAGTCTCATAATGGAACACTACATGGCAAGGAAATGAATGCTCGGCCTGCAAGGACATGAATGAATCTTCAAAAACATCACATTGGAAGAAGCCAGATGCAAACGAAAATGATCCCAGGTATATAAAGTATAAAGCCCAGCAACTCAGCACCAAGCTTCTACAGAGTAAGTAGTGACCACTTGGGAGTGGGGGAAGTAATGGGGGGAAGTAATGATGGGAGTGGGCAACAGGGTGGAGCTTCAGGGGTGCTAGTAATGTTGTTCCTCCCTCTAGGGACTGGTTTAGGTTGTGAAAATTCATCAAGCTATGTACATTTGTGATATGTTCACTTTTCTGTATGTCTAGTTTACCTCAAAAAGTGGCAAGAAAGATAATACCACTTAAGTAAACCATTGCGTGTAACAGAAATACTTCATACATCACTTTGTAGAAGAAATAATCTAACTGGCATATTCAGAGTTGGAAACACCCTTAGAAGTTTATGGTCCAACTTTACAAAATCCCTAGCAGGCAGACGTCTGGTCCTTCTTAAAAATCTCCAGGGATAGGAACTCAATACCTTCCCCGAAGGTAGTCAATTCTATTTTTAATGGGTTTAGTCATTAGAAGGTTCTTCTGTATTCTAAGCAAAAATTTTCCCAATTCAAGCCAATAATCAATTAAAATCCCCCCAGTTGCTTGTGAAAGTATTGCTGTTAAATCATGTCTTGCCCATCTTCTAAATGTGTGAGTGTGTTTGGGCGCCAACTAAAGGAATGAATATTTCTCTGTTAAATTTTACTTTGGTAAATTCAACTCACATGCAATTTAAAGGACAAGGAAATGCTCTATTAATGGTGCAGGGATATGCTTATAGAAGATAATCATACTGTTAATTTCTAAAATTATAACCATACTTGATTTTACTTTGCCTGAAGCTACAATCTCATCTGTATTATATTTATTTTGAGTTTTATTAGAAAAAAAGGCCTTTGGGGGGGTGCCTGGGTGGCTCAGTCATCAGGCGTCTGCCTTCGGCTCAGGTCATGATCCCGGAGTCCAGGGATTGAGCCCCGAGTCCGGCTCCCTGCTCAGCGGTGAGTCTGTTTCTCCCTCTCCCACTCCCCCTGCTTGTGTTCCCTCTCTCGCTCTCTGTCAAACAAATAAACAAAATCTTAAAAAAAAAAAAAAAGGCCTTTGGTTTATGCTGTATTATTAACATACGATTAACCTGAGCTGAAGACTACAAAGTAAATTTCTGTCAATCCAAAGTAGCAGTGCTGCCTTTTAAGTTTTTTTTTTTAATGTGGAGACAGAGTGATTCTACTTGTACACTAAAGTACTATAAATTGTATTCTACTCTGTTAATTTAAAAGTGAAAAAAGGAAAACCAATTCTCAGTGACCTTTAGGAAGAAGTAGTCTTCTTTTTTCTTTATAAAATTAATTCATTTAGAATGCTGGGATGGAGGGGTAAGCAAATGGGCTTCATTTTGCACAAGATTTGAAGCATCTTTTCAAGTTAAAATAATTTCAACATTACTGACGAGATTCATGGCAACTCTAATCCTTTCAAATAATGCAGGTAGGAAATGTAATTAAGCACTTTTATCTGCAAACAAAATAAACACTAGAGCAGTGAATGCTCCCCTTAGGAAAATAATCATCTCAAAAAAACAATTTAATGTATGATAAATTCATGACTAGTAATTGTAAGGTCCTTAATGAAAAGGAATCTGGCAAACTACAAAGATTTAATATATTTTCAAATGTCCACACTAAAAGCTGGCATGTCAAACTAAATACCTGGTGACAAAAAGGCTACCTACCATTCTTTCACGTATGATCTGAGGATAAAATAATTATTATTAATAATGCAAGTCTATAGATTTATATTACAGTTTACAATAGATTCTAGATTCTCCTAGTTTCAAGTCAGTATGGTAGACTTCACTTTTAAATTTTTCATTTATTTTTAAACAGACTTTTCCTTTTTGACTAACGCTGAAAACCTTTTTTTTTTAAAGGTGGCGACAGGGTTTTCAAGATCATTCTGCTTATTTTTTACCAATCTTCTGTAATTGTTATACATATAAGTTGTTTCCAATTTTTATACTACTATAAATAATGCCATGATGAATGTATTCCAGCAACACTTAAATCTGATTATAAAAATAATACATGATCATTACAGAAAATTTACAAAATATAAAATACTACAATAAAGACAATAAAAATTGCTCATAACTTAGAGAAGGCCACTGTTAGCATGCTGGAGGACTTTTAGCCCCTTGGGGTATATCCGTATTTATAACCTTGGGATTTCAATTCAACAGCCTCTTTGACACCTCCACTGGAATATCTTTCCACTATGTCAAATGTACATGTTCCAAACTGAGTTTTTCATCTCCCATACCCCTGAATTTTATCCCCCCATCAGGGTTCCTCACCCTGTCACAAAAACCAAACATTTAGGAACCATCCTTGGCAGCTCCATTTCCCTGCACACTACATGAATATGGACTGTTTACCTCAAAGCTGGATCTGGAATGCTACTATTTCTCATCACATCTACAACTACTCTCCTACTCTAAGCCTCCATCACCCCAGACCAGACTCCCAACCAAACAGTATCCCCATGTCTGCTTTTGCCACTTTCAGCTACCACCAAGAGTGATATTTCAAAATGCACATCTGGTATGTCACTCTTCTACTAAAATCTAATAGTTTACCCTTTTCTTAGGCTAAGCTCCCATCTGTCTGAGAACCGCTGTACAAACTGAATTAGATGTACATGGCTTTGTCTCCTATTTTCACCTAACATTATATTTTGTGAGTATTTTCTACTGTCAGGAGATACCCTTTGAAAACATCATTTTGAGTGACTGGAAAATATTCCCCTCTATGAACCCATCACTTCCACATTACTGGACATCCACGTTAGATACACACTACATGCATACATATCAAGCAGCTATTAAAAAGCATTTTCACAGGCTGTTCTATGACTTAGGAAAATTTTCATAGTACAATGCTGAGTTTAAAAAAGCAAGAGAGAAATTTGTATATAGTCTTCAGGCCTAATTTTGCAAATATGTTTATGTACATTAAATAAGACAATCAAAAATACCAAATGTTAAATGTTAATGGCATCCATGAGAAATTGGATTGTGGGTGATTTTTATTTTCTTCTTTATACATTTCATTGTTTCCTACATTTCTTTTAGTCACTCTGAATATATTTCTTTCTCTTTTTTTTTTTTTTTAAAGATTTTATTTATTTATTTGACAGAGTCAAATGGAGGAGACACAGCGAGAGACAGAACACAAGCAGGGGGAGTAGAAGAGGGAGAAGCAGGCTTCCTGCAGAGCAGGGAGCCCGATGCGGGGCTCAATCCCAGGACCCTGGGATCATGACCTGAGCCGAAGGCAGACACTTAACGACTGAGCCACCCAGGCGCCCCTGAATACATTTCTTTCATAAGAAAAAAAAAAAAGTATTCAAAAACATATTATAGTGGGCTAAAAAATTACACACAGAATCACCATATGATACAGCAATTGTGCTTCTGTGCAGATGCCCAAAAGAACTGAAAGAAGGAACTCTAACAGATATTTGTACACTAATGTTCATAGTAGCATCATTCATTATAGCCAAAGGTGAAAACAACCCAAATGTCCATGGATGAATAAACAAAACGTAGTATATAAATACAGTGGGATATTATTTAGCCTTAAAAAGAAATGTTCATTTCAGACACACACTACACAACACGGATAAATCTTAAAGGCATTATGCTGTGTGAAGTAAGTTTGACATAAAAAGAAAAATATTGTGTTATTTTACTTACACGCAGTACTAGAGTAGTC